CGGAGCCTATTCAATACAAACAAACAAACAAATGAGTCGTCTATTATCAAAGGTGGCAATCTGTGCATTTGGACAAAAAAAAATTATTGATATGTCAATACAGATTTATTTGAATATAATCGTCTCCTTCAAAGAATACGGTTCAAAACCTGCATTAAATAAAGGTTAATAGTTAACCTGTTATTTATCTAAGATGTCGTTCCGAAGAGTTTTGTGACTGCCAATGGAATACAAAGTCAATAATTCGTTTTTCTGATTTACCAATCATTGTCCAAAAGTCACATTGCCGGCTTTGATAATAGTCGACTCAAATCTTTCCTCTTCATAATATTAGTATAGATTGATAAACTTAAACTAAAAACACGGATTGATGTTGAATTAATTACAGCCGTTAACATTTCATTGTATTAATGGCATTATGAAAACGCATTACCCCAGATTGCCCCGAGTAATACACACGAAATTCATTTATTATTATTACCGTCCGACATCTAAATGACGAACGCTAGAAGTTAATTCTCGAACATTCGATTAAGCTTTCGACTACGACTAACAATCGTCATTGACGCGAACTCTTACGCAACGAGAAAACCAAGAGATCTCACCGTAACTCAGCGTTAAACACGTACCCGCCAGAATTGGACCCGCCTTCCGAATCGCGGTCACACTTTAACTAAAATGACGCACATTACGCAACAATAATGCGTAATTACCGTGCAATTAAACCTCGCAGAAACGTGAAACTAGGAAAGCTTGTAATTGTCCGCGCTCTCATTCAGAAGCGTCGGACGAGGATCGACATGCCGAGGGAATCGAAGGACAGCTGTAATGCTATAGCCAGACTAATCAAGGACTTCTGCAGCTGTTCCGAAAACGGAACCTGGTCTCCGGAGATGACGTCAGACAAACGCAAGGGCCCGTTCTTGAAGAGCGAGCTCACGAACATGTCGGCCATGCGCAGACGCATCATGACCATAGCCAAAAGAAAAACAAAAGAAATACCGGAATCACCGAAGCTGACTAAAGGGGATCAATTGAAGAAAAGCTCCGAAACTTTAACGTCTAATTTGGTTAACACAACTATAAGCTCCCAAGGCAGTACAATACGCAGGAACATTGACAGCTTCCTCATGTCGCGACGAATGTTTGCTTTAGAAGAGGACATTTACGAGAAACCGATCCAGTACGTTAAGAACTCTTCGTGCGGCGAAAACTGGTCTTTGAGCAAAGCGTGGAGGTTAAACAACACAGATTTGTTCAATACAACAATTGATTCGCACACTCGCCAAACGCAATTGGAAAGAATCGAAGAAGTTCCGCATAGAAAGAAACAGAACAGGAAAATGAGAGAGCAGATGCGTTACGATCGGAACATCAAACGCCATATTCGTATAAGAGTGATGCTGTCTTTGCGAATGAGGAGGTACTTGAAGAAGCGATTGAGGAAAGGCTCGGCTACCTCCCAAAACGTGAACGTGCCTCCGAGGAGGTTTCTGAGGGGGGCCTCGTTGACCTCTAGCTTCGGAACCAGGTCTTACAGGAGCGTGCTGATGGATAAAGTAGCGGACGGCTCCGTGGTCTTCGATGTGTACGAAGCCAGGAATTCGACGATGGGTCTCTGTCACGACTACGCTGAGGATCTCGACACGCTACACATAGCTCTCCGCGCCGGGAATTTTAGGTAATTATTTTAAAGCTAGGCCTCTTATGAGATCAATCGACGATATAATAAAGGTTACGGGAACCATCTGGATGTGGGTCGCACTAAATCGGTCGTTGTGGCTAGTTTTAGAGGAGGCTTTTTTCCAGCAGTGGACGTCTGTGTATTGATAATGATGATGATGATTTTTCGTAGTAAACCAGTCTGGTTTGTTGTGACAATTAAGAGGATATTCAAAGTGTAGGCACAGGCTTTAGGCTTTGATTGAAGAAGATGTATGTGACTTTAGTACCGTGTTTTAATGGCTCAAATACTATTTCTTTCTCACAATTCATTCCTAATAAAAACAACAAAGGTATAACAATTTATCAGCGTTATGTCTGGTTCTCTGAAATAGATGACTTTTCTAACATACAGCTCGAAGTAGGAACCAGGAAGTTTAACGTGTAAATTAGCCCGTATCGTCAGCTTTTCAACGTAACGTGATTTTCTCGTCGGATTTTCTCAGTGAGCGAGTCGCGATTCCAACCCCGCAGCAACTTAATTCTCTTTTTGGAGCGTTCAGGCATTTAATACCCCTACCCTGTTATTCCCTTTCCTGGCTGAGCTCGAGCTCATCCACGTGTCGTGGCAAAGCTGGAAAGGCATTCAGGCTACCAACGATCCATGCCCAAAAAAAAACCACGAAAAAATGTATATTTATAATTTAAAAGCAATTTGTTGTAATACCGGTTTTTTCTTTGGATTGAAATCATATGAGCTACGTCTCACCAGATGGTGAGTGTATACCATCCCTCATTACCATCAACAATGGATAGCCAGGATACCCTCCAAGTCCTCTTGCCAAACTTCATTTACTCTTCTAACCTCTCTTTTGAGCATTTAAGTTTGTAGTTAGGCCGCCCTGATTTGGTCCATAAACCTTCTGAAACGGTCCAGATGTAAGGGTAAGGGCAAGGGTACGAACAAATCGAACCTAAGCCCAGCATTACTGACAATAAAAGCCCAACACGATCGCATATTTTAACAGTATCTGTAATTATGTGCATCAAATAACCCGGAGGTCACAAAACTCAAACAGCCAACGAATTGACGAAGTATTCCGGATACGCAGGCACGGTGCGTGACATTATTGTTGTGTCCCTCCGCCGTAATGAGAGAGTGTGTCGCCTCACTAATCTGACTATATATGGGAATGTTTTATAGTATTTTAGTACTCCTAAGTACTGAATATTATTTGTAGTACTCTTGATGGCTATAGACACGAGGCAGCCGCGCGAGATGAGTTTTCGGTCATCGTTCTCACCGAACCCGTCCGCGTCGCTTGCGACGAAGGGATCGGCGAGTAAATTAAACCACAGACAGCCCACTGAGTTTCTCGCCGGATCTTCTCAGTGGGTCGCGTTTCCGATCCGGTGGTAAATTCTGCGAAGCACGACTCTTGCTAGGGTTCGTGTTAGCAACATCGTCAGGTTTGAGCCCCGTGAGCTCACCTACTAATTAAGGTTACGCTGAAATGGTCTCTCTAGACTATCAGCTTAGGTAGGAAAGAAAAAGTTCATTTGACTCCATACAGAAGAGGGCCGTTCGGATTGTCGATTGTCTCACGGATCGTTTGGAACCTCTGGGTCTGCGAAGGGACTTCTCTTCTCTCTGCATTCTGCACCGTATGTTCCATGGGAAGTGCTCTGAGGAATTATTTGAAATGATTCCATCATCTCGTTTTTACAATCGCACCGCCCGCCACCGGAGTAGACTTCATCCATACTACCTGGAGCCACTGCGTCTATCCGCAGTGCGTTTCCAGAGATCTTTTTTGCCACGCACCATCCGGCTTTGGAATGAGCTCCCCTCCACGGTGTCTCCCAAGCGCTATGACATGTCCTTCTTCAAACAACGTTTGTGGAGAGTACTCAACGGTAGGCAGCGGTTTAGCTCTGCCCAGGGCATAGCTGAAGTCCATGGTCGACGGTAACCATTCACCATCAGGTGGGCCGTATGCTCGTCTGCCTACACGGGCAATGTAAAAAAAAAAAACAATACTATAAATTATAATAATTTCCTCAGCTTGATTTGATCTTTAACCGTCTTTAACGAAAAACCAAGGAAGTTCTTAATTCGACAAAAAAAAATTTATATCTGTTATCTCAGAACTTTTTTCTAGGCCTAAAATTATGCATAAAAGGTTCATTAACTCAATAAAGAAAACATTACACAGCTACCATGTATTTGACACACACACATATACTCTTTGTTTATTGTCAAACTTTTGTTATTGCTTAAAGTCTGTAGTCAAATTGAGAATAGGTTAGTATTTTTTATCTTAATATTACGAGTATTTGTCTATAGTGTAGTCTTGGCGAAATATTTAACAATAGGACCTTAATAATGTTGACACTTATAATTTCAATTAATTATAGTCGAATTTCGATTACTGCGGGATCACTAGTTCACGATAATTGTATATAAAAATTTTCAACCGTGTTTTATGTAAATGCCAATATTTAATTAGAATAGGGCGATATAAAATAAACAATATGATTTTATTGGAACTTAATTTGATTCCTTATTTCACTCAGTTAAAGAGCAGTTTTTTTTTTCACCTAATAGGATGTGTTTGAGGGGAAAGTAAATTATGAAGAGATTTAGTAAAGCTAAAGCGATTCACTTCTGTGCGCCATCTATTATCCCAGAGTTGCAGCTTTAGACAGTTTCTGCGGCAATTTGCCTACGTACCGCTAGATGGCGCGACGAAAAATAATTTTCCATTTATTTTGCTGCTCAAGTCTAATTAGACGATTTTTGTAGCTTATTGTTTTGGAGTTAAAAATAAAATAAAGTTTAATTTGGCTTTTTAAAAGTATATAGCAATACTATAGGTATGTACTATATATTTTTTTGTTTTTATTCAGTCTTTATTGCATTGAAATAGTAATAGGAAATAATGATGGGAATACAAATATTATAGTAAACCATAATACTGTATTTCTTATTTTCGAAATGTGATATTAGTTGAATGACTAATTTATTCATTTAATGAATAGACTTTTATGTTTTATTTATTTATTTATTTATTTATTGTTTAGGTGGGTGGACGAGCTCACAGCCCACCTGATGTTAAGTGGTTCTTGGAGCCCATAGACATCTACAACGCAAATGCCGCCACCCACCTTGAGATATGAGTTCTAAGGTCTCTAGTTACAACGGCTGCGTGGCCCTTCAAACCGAAACGCATTACTGCTTCACGGCATAAATAGGCAGGGCGGCGGTACCTACCCTTGCGGACTCACAAGACGTCCTACCATCAGTAACTTTCATTATCAAATCATTTTTTTCACAGGAGCGGTCGGTTAGCTGTCGAGAGTTGGTGGGCGGGGCACGCGATGCCGGCGGCGGGCGGGCGCGCCAACAACGGCGCCCTCGCACTGCACTATGCCGCCGCACGAGGCTGTCTCGATTGTGTTCGTCTGCTCACAAATACTACTCCAGATGCCTCGTGAGTACAACAGTTTCCAATCCATATAGCTTTATCGCCTATGACAAGTCAAAAGCGTCGTAAGGTATACAGCTCCATCTATTAGTAAATAAATGAACTACAAATTTAAATTAAAAAAATTCCGTAAAACGCACTTCAGCTACTTACCAATAGATGGCGCTGCGCGATTTGTAATGTGAGCGGAAATCTCAAAAGGAAAATTTACTGTCGAAACCTCAACATTGAAGTCTGATATTAGATTGTCATCACGAATAGGTACTTTCATATTTTTCTAGGGACTTTTAAAAGTTTCTCAGCAGTGGTCCGTGTGCTTAGTGCGAGTTTTTTAACTTTCTCGATAGCGTAAAAGTTAGCTCATATTTGTATGGAATGGAATCGTATGCCTACGTTTGCCGCTAGGGGCGCTGTTCCAATTGCATACAAAATTGGGCTAACTTTTACGCTGAGAACGTTAAAAAGCTGACACTAAGCACACTGTAGGTAGTTTTTTTGTGTTTATTTCATAAGAAAACTCATCACGTTAACTCGTAAATTCCACGTCTATCGGAGCGTTGTACGGTTGGCACGTCACACGTCATTACCTCAGTCCGAGCGGATTGAACGCGTGCTCTCCGCGTTTTTCTGGACTTGTAACTAACTGTCCAGTCACGATACATAACGGACTGGAACGGGCAGCGCCGACGCGTCTTGTATGTACTCGTAATCTAGATTATTGCAAAATTATATGTACATGCTTCAACAGAAAATCCAAGTTAATGATGTTATTGAGGGTTTTTAGCATATATATAAAAAAAAAAATTATTGCTTAGATGGTTGTACGAGCTCACAGCCCACCTGGTGTTAACTGGTTACTGGAGCCCACAGACATCTACAACGTAAATGGTACCACCGACCTTGAGATATAAGTTCTAAGGTCTCTGTATAGTTACAACGGCTGTCCCGCCCTTCAAACCGAAACGCATTACTGCTTCACGGCAGAAATAGGCGGGGCGGTGGTACCTACCCGTGCGGACTCACAAGAGGTCCTACCACCAGTAAATTATGTTTGAATAGTCGCTTAACACGTGACTTAGGAATGTAGCCCATAACAGAATGGTTGTAACATATAAACTTAATGATATTTCTATCGGTTTTCGTGAGATGTAAACGTAATGAAAATAATTTTTACGATTTGATTTTGCCTTTTTATTATTTTCGAGGTTTCGTTTGAATCATCCGTTTCCGTAAACATGAAAACGGTAAAGCGCTCGAAAGTTTAGAAAAAGTTTTAATTATAGATTTAAAAAAAATCTATATATTAATACGCGAAGCAAAAACTTTGTATCCCTTTTTACGATAATTGCGCGGACGGAGGAGTATGAAATTTTCCACACTTATAGAGAATACAGAGAAGAAGTGTACAATGCTAATATTTTTTTAAAATAATGCATAAAAGATACATTAAATCAATAAAGAAAACATTACGCACACTACATACCATGTATTTGACGCACACACGCATGCATACTATTTATTGTCAAACTTTTGTTCTTGACGTCTGTTGTCAAATTGAAAATAGATTAAATATTGTTTGTCATTGTTAATATTTTTAAACGTTTTTATTTAGCTCGACCCGTACGGAATTTATTTGTTTATTTATTTGGGTCCAAATTAGAAATTGAAATTTAAGAACCTTCCCGTTGTCAGATTGATCTGAAATTTGGTACACATATTTTTTATAGTGTAGTCTTGGCGAAATTTGTGATTATATAAGTATAAAATATAATCATAATAGTGTACAAACTTACAATTCCAATTAATTATAGTCGAATTTCGACTACTGCGGGACCTCTAGTATATGGTAAAACTACATATTATTAAAATATAAATCGATTAGTCTTGTTCTTGCAGTTTAAAAAATACAATTTTGACGTTATGTCTTATAACAACATTATATCATTAAAAATCGATCGGTTATTGACGCATATATACGTAATTTTAAAACAAAAACGTGTATAACTAACTCATTACGTTAACAATACGTAGTGCAGTCTGTAAACGAATTGTTTACGAAACAATATGATCTAATGTTGTGTTGATGCATGAAATAATAAACAAATTATTAAACTCTTTTTTTCCTACCTATGTTGATAGCCTCGAGAGGGTATTTCAGTTTCTTGACGTGTAGGTGAGCTCACAGGCTCAAGCCGGGAGTGTTGCTAACACTGGCCCTAGCAAGGACAGTGCCTCGTAGATTCTGCCACCGGATCGGAAACGCGACCCACTGAGAAGATCCGGCGAGAAACTCAGTGGGCTGTGTCTATGGGTTAATTTACTCGCCGAGCCCTTCGTAGCAAGCGACGGGTTCGACGAGGACGGTGATCGCATTCTTAAACGTTTGTTGCAGTTGTAATGCTATTTTTTTAATGGCGAGTACGTCTTCTTCAATTCTCAATTCTATTGTATAACTGATATGAGAATTAGGCACATCAATCTATCCGTGCCACCTAATAATAAGCCTTATTATCCAACAATGTGTTTAAAATTAAGTACACATAGCTGTGTTATGACTCTGCTTTACGCCGCCCTGGTCGAAATCAGCTAGGTTATAGGTACGTCGTCATCTTAACCCTTTACCACATTCGCTTTTCTTTCCTACCTAAGCTGATGGTCTAGACTCAGTCTACAGAGACCATATCAGCGTAACCTTAACTAGTAAGTGAGTTCATGGGGCTCAAACCTGACGATGTTGCTAACACGAATCTAACTCTAGCAAGAGTCGTGTCGTGATTCGCAGAATCTACCACCGGATCGGAAACTTTAAGCTTTAAATACCTAGCTCTTCTGTGAAGTTGAATTTTTTTTGCTAAAAACAAAATTTCGATTTTTTCTATACAACCAACAAAGAAAAAAACACACATGTAATTTTTTTGTATATTTTTCTTCCTAAATTTTCTTTATAATTCACGTCAGCTAAGTTAAAATAAGCAACGTGAAGATAAGACACATATAATTTGTTAACCAGTCAATTAGTGTCTAAATTGTTAGTAGTTTTATTAACATTTAATATTAAATTGAACGTCGCACATATAATATAATTAAAGAGCGCGTTTTCAGAGAAAGCGTTACTTACTGAATTAATTATCTCGTGATCTTCAATCTTCACACTCCGCCGATGCTCGCGTCCTGGCTAACGCTTCGCTAAAATAAAAATAAAACATGTAGGTAGTTACTATATTATAGATATAGATTTTAAATATAGATATTATGTTATAGATAATTTGATTGTTTCTTACATTGAAGTCGTCGTGGCCTAAAGGATAAGACGTCCGGTGCATTCGTGTTGAAGCGATGCAACGGTGTTCGAATCTCGCAGGCGGGTACCAATTTTGTACTGAAATACGTACTCAACAAATGTTCACGATTGACTTCCACGGTGAAGAAATGACATCGTGTAATAAAAATCAAACCTGCAAAATTATAATTTGCGTAATTACTGGTGGTGGGACCTCTTGTGAGTCTGCGCGGGTAGGTACCACCGCCCTGCCTATTTCTGCCGTGAAGCAGTAATGCGTTTCGGTTTGAAGGGTGGGGCAGCCGTTGTAACTATACTTGAGACCTTAGAACTTAGATCTCAGGGTGGCTAGCGCATTTACGTTATAGATGTCTATGGGCTCCAGTAACCACTTAACACCAGGTGGGCTGTGGGCTCGTCCACCCATCTAAGCAATAAATAAAAAACTACGGTGAAATTTAAATTTATCTTTTATTTCGGATCTATTTGACTCAAATTAATCCAAAATCCGATGCACTGACGAGCTATTGATTTCATTTATATCCTTTGCTTTTAATTATTACATTTTTTTTTACTTTTACTTACGTAGTTTGAAGCATGAACTTTTCAATGGTTGGAAGATCTTCGCAGCGTTGTGTTCATGATTATCATAATTTTTTTTTCTACATAAGCTGGTGACCTTGAGAGACTATGCCAGCGTAACCGAGTGAATAGGTGAGCTCACGGAGCTCAAAACTGACGAGGTTGCCAGCGCTAGCCCTAGCAAGAGCAGTGCTTCGCAGAATCTACCGCCGGATCGGAAACGCGATCCACTGAGAAGATCCGGCGAGAAACTCAGTGGGCTGTGTCTGTGGGTTAATTTACTCGCCGAGCCCTTCGTTCTCCGCAAGCGACCTCTTTTTGTGTATTCAGGACTAACTAATATAGGTTTGTTTTTTAAAAGGAAAGGAAATGATAAATATCTATGGGTATTGTTTTAAGATCGCCTGTGCATTTTAATATGCGTAACAAAATCTACAAACTCGACGTTACGGGAAAAGCTGAGACTGCATCTCAATTAGTGTTTCGATGTACTACTACTGTTCTTACTACCGCATTAGTAGATACTAGATAGTGTTGGCATTCAGTCGCATTATGTGTTGCTCCGCGCGTACTCGTGTCGAGTCGAGTGCACAGCGTGAGTGCTCTAAAGTGTAATGCGTTCGCCTACCTGAAGTGTGTGTTTAACGATTCTATACTTTATTTTTATTACATTTAAGTTCTAATTATTTTTGTGTGTGAAAGGTTGTTTTGGTATTCCGCGACCCAGAAGTCTGGTAAGTGGTAACCGAGACTGACTAAAGTTTGTCGTTGGGAATCTTTGAAAATAACGTTTCTAGGTCTTAAAAATATATATATATTATCATAGTCTAGTCGGCCGCTGTTTTTAGAAGCCTCTGTATGACAAGTCATTATTGTAATTGCTATGAATTGGTATATACTTATATTGGTTTAAGTATTCTGATTGGCTTCGATATTTGTCTAAAGAATCTGTAGTAGAGTATGAAATAATTTAAATCATTGTTCACCAAATAAATAATGTCTGTAATATAATATAAACATATAAAAAGACGTTTCTAAATTATTCGCCGGTAGCCTAATGGGTTATTTCAACTGGTATGTGCGCTCACGGGCTTAACCTGAGAGAATTTGCTAACACTAGTCCTAGATCAGATCCGCACCGCTT